AATTTTGGGTTTGATTTGGTATGAATTAATATAGTCTGGTAGATGTTTTTTTACATTTTATGTGCATTTTATGAATTAAAATTTTACATTTTTTTAAAAGGACGTTTTACGTTTTAAATTGAATTATTATTATTATTATTATTATTATTATTATTATTATTATTATTATTATTATTATTATTATTATTATTATTATTATTATTATTATTATTATTATTATTATTATTATTATTATTATTATTATTATTATTATTATTATTATTATTATTATTATTATTATTATTATTATTATTATTATTATTATTATTATTATTATTATTATTATTATTATTATTATTATTATTATTATTATTATTATTATTATTATTATTATTATTATTATTATTATTATTATTATTATTATTATTATTATTATTATTATTATTATTATTATTATTATTATTATTATTATTATTATTATTATTATTATTATTATTATTATTATTATTATTATTATTATTATTATTATTATTATTATTATTATTATTATTATTATTATTATTATTATTATTATTATTATTATTATTATTATTATTATTATTATTATTATTATTATTATTATTATTATTATATTAATATTATTATTATTATTATTATATTATTATTATTATTATTATTATTATTATTAAAGTTTGATCTGATCTGATTTAATTTGGAACTGAAATCAATCCAATTAAAAAAATCTATTAAAATAAAAGTTGGACTTTGTAAACATATAAAGATTTTCTAATTTGGATTAGGAATATATTTCAAAAGTGAAGGCACATTTAAATTGTAGTTGTATAATAAAGAAATGGGAAAACTGTCAATTTGGTCCTCGTACTTTCATAAAAAAGTCAATTAGGTCCTCGTACTTTTAAAAAGATCAATCAAGTCCCCGAACTTTGTAAAAACGTTCAATTGAATCCGATTCAGGTTAATTGTCATTAACAAATGCCTGATTGGGCTTCCACGTGTGTGTCACCTCAGCAAAATTATTGCTGATTGGGCTGCCACATGCGCCCCACGTCAACGGGCGACCTGCTGACATGGCAAGTAACCTGCAAATGGACTCAATTGAACGTTGTTACAAAGTTTGGGGACTTGATTGATCTTTTTAAAAGTATGAGGACCTAATTGACTTTTTCATGAAAGTACGAGTACCAAATTGACAGTTTTCCCTAAAGAAATAAGCAAACATATTTAATTTTTTGGCTAGGCCTAAACGAATTTACTTGTAAAAATATACATACATGTATGTATTTATGTATGATATCAATTTTCATCCTTATTAAATAAGGTAAGTTACTTGATCAGAAGTATTCTTTTTAAAGATTCTATATTAGAATATCTAATAGTTTTAATTTCAATTATATGGTGGTTATAATTTTTATCATTATTTGAATAATTAAGAAAGAATTGTATGAAGATGGAGCAAAATGCAAATTAGTATTATCACAATTGCAAACCCGGGGTTTAGAATTTTAATCATTATCTCTTGCGAAAAAAGAATTTTAATCATTATCTCAACATTGAGTTTAGAAAAAATAAAATATTACATTTTAGGAAATGGACACTATTATCACATCATCTCTTTAATAGAATGTAATAAAAACTAAACAAATATATAAATAATTAAATGATTGTTACTATGTAAGTCCGTGCTTAAAATTTGGTTATTAATTGTTGTGGTTCCAATTACATAATTTAATACTTATCAAATAGGTAATGGGTTTTGAAAAACTTACCAAATTAATTAAAGTGGATTTCTACGAATTTTTGTTTTCATATCAATATGCAATCAAAAATAGAATCTAGCTAATAAAATAGAAGATATAAAAATAACTAAATAATTAATATATATAATGACATGACAAGATTATGTGGCGCTTTGTATGCTCTTAAAATGTTCCTCTTATGTATATATATTGATTGGAGACGTTGATACGAATGACTTCATTATGGATTTATAGTTCATATGCGTTCTCGTCATTCATTTTTAGGGTATGACCCTACTATAAAAATGAATACTTAGGAGAGGCCACATATATGACTCCATGATAGGACTTCTTTTTTTACACAAAGCCCAACCGTACAAAAACAAGTTAGGGCTTGTTTGCAATCAATTAAAAAAGTGATTTTGTTTTTTTTTAAAGAAAAAAACATTTACCAAACAATATCAACTTTTACTTCCTCAGTTTTCGTGTAGAATCTACTTTTTATTTTTTCTATTACACAAAAAACACTTATTTTACCAAACACTACCAACTTTTACTACTAATCACTTTTTCCCAAAAAGTACTTTTATTTAAGCACAAGTGGTTGCAAATAGAGCTTAATGGGAACATTCAAACATATATCATGTACGGAGTATTGTCATATATAACTTGTAAATATAACATATAATATGCGGAGGATCCATATATCTTTACCCCCCCCCCCCCCCCCCCATGCCTTTCTTTCCCATAGAATCCAGCGTGGGTTTCCCAAACGAATGGGAACATTCAATGTAAACATAAGAAAATTCAATGTATCCATTTGAATATTTAATTGATAATTCATTCTCTTAATTCAGACATATAAAAATTGAAAACGGTAAAGGTCCACTCAGGGATGGATTTAAGGGGGGTGCGGGGTGACCGGCCCCCTTGAACTTTTAAATTTTTCTACTATATATGTAATATTTTCAGACATTAGTTAGATATATATGTTTTCGCCCCCTTATCTTTTAGTTTTTAAAATTAATATATAAGCTCACATGATGTAATGTTTAACTGGAGATTTAAAAGAAGTAAAATCTAAAATAATTTACATAATTTAAACAAATAAACAATAGAATAACTCATTGTTTAAGACTTGGGATACCTATTATATTAAAAATTTAGTTTTGTCATGTTTAATTATCTTTATTAGATAATTAGTACTCGATTTTGTAAAATATCAATGATATTAAATATCAGACACAATAGTTAAACAGATTTTAGATGATGTAAAGTGAATCCAAAATATAAATGTTTGTTAACATTAAATTATACAATCAATTTACCTCTTACTTTGTAAAAACAATTTGTTGCATAGATAATAAACTTTAACTTATTTTAGCATTAATACAGATATAATATGCACCATGTATACATGAATTAACAATACTACGTATCATATTATTCTAAAATTAATAATCTCATACCTACTATTGTAATACTAAGAAAACACCCCGTGATCTATGAATACCCTCCTTCGTAGACAAAATTTGCAATTCAAAAATCGATTCTTTATTCCGATAAAATTCATGTAGTTAAACAAAGCAAAAATTATTTAAAAAACATCGGTCCTTGTGTACCTTTTAAACTCTTTATCTTAAAATAATTTGATAAAATGTTATATCCTTTCTTCTTTTCAAATAATTTTCTAGAGCACTAACAATTATTAAGTCAAAGTTATTTTTTCATTGTCTAAAATTAGAATATAATATAATAGATTTAAATGTCATTGTGTATTTACTAATTGATTTTTTTGAACAAAAATTAGTCACAGAATCCTACACTAGCAAAAAAAATTCACCCCGCTACACTAGCCAAATTTATTTCGCCCTGTTACACTACAGGAAAATTTTTCACCTCATACACTAACAAAAAAAAATTCGCCCCCCGTAACTCGAAATCCTGGATCCGTCCCTAGGTCCACTCGCATGTTATGAATCTTATGATGTGAATGACATGCACTATAATTTATCTTTCGCTAATGATGAATCAAATCATGCTATAAATTTAGGCTGTGTTTGCAATCACTTAAAATAAGGGATTGTGGTTTTTTTTAAGAAAAAATACTTATTTTAACAAACACTACCAACTTTTACTTTCTCGGTTTTCGTGTAGAATCTACTTTTTTCTTTTTCTATTACACAAAAAACACTTATTTTATCAAACACTACCAAATTTTACTATTAATCGCTTTTTCCCAAAAATGCTTCTATTTAAACACAAGTGATTACAAACAAAACCTTAGTCTATAATGTCATTCTACTATTTGTAATAATGATCAAATGACCAATCAAAACCGCCAAAAAAAAGGTTTCTAATTTTCTATATACTCCGTATTCATTATTCAATGTAACACTCATTATTCCGAATCCACTATAAATTTAGTCTATGCTGTCATTCTACTATTTGTAATGATGATCAAATGACCAATCAAAACCGCAAAAAAAAAGTTTCTACGTACTTCTTCCGTTCTTTTTTAGTTGCGACGGTCAACATTTCACACTTGGCAATGCACGTCTTTGACCGTAATTATACCTTAATCTCTATTAGTAAAAAATATTTAAAAATTAGATTTTGAAAATTTGTAATGAGATGATTTGAACAATACTCTTTTTTAAAAATAATTTTCATATAATAATAATATAAAATGTAGTCAAAATATAACATGTGAATAGTGTAAAATTCGAGATGTTGCGATTAAAAAAAGACGGAGAATAGTAGTCGGTATTCATTATTCAATGTAACACTCATTATTCCGAATCCACTATAAACCGAACCTGACCGGCAAAAGCAGTGCATGGTCTTTCATTTCCCTCTTCTCTTGATCAACTTGACTGCATTTTATAATTAGTTGAATTAATAATTTGATACTAGTATATTAGCTCCGTTCTCTTTTAATAACAACATTAAACGTTTTACACTATTTACATATTCTACTTTGATTATATTTTATTTGTTAATGTATAATAAATTAATTTTTTAAAAATATTGTTAATTTATTCTTATTTTAAATTTTCAAATATGAATTTTATAATTTTTTTACTAATAAGGAATGAAAGATATTAATGATCAAACTTGTGTGCTGATAAACGTGAAAATGACTGTCGCAATTAAAAAAGAATGGATGAAGTATATTATATTGCTCCCAAACTCTTCCCGTGCTTTAATTTTATTGAAAAACTTATACTCGGTATTATTGTTTTGATTATTAAATATTATCAGGGCCTGGCTGTTCTTCTCTCGCGTATGGAGCAATGCAAGAGTTGGGCCCATTCAGAGTCCTCAGCGATGGAAAAACACTTCACGAAAACAAATTTGCATGGAATCGGGGTACGCTATATATATTCATTTGAGAAGAATATATTATACGAAGTATTTATGTATGAAATGCCATTGAGGTAAAAAGATGAAGAGACTATGAGTTACTTATATAGCGGATTTGACTAGTACATTGAGTTAGCGGGATACAAAAGTGTGTTCGTTGGTTATTATGTCTTATTTCAAAATGCTAACATATCGATCAGCGTTTCCGGTGGGTGATTGAAAACATTAAACGTGGTTAAAGCACTCATTTTTTGCCGAAATGACATTTCTCAAATACGGCCTTTGAGTCCACTAGTCTACATTTTCCGGCGGTAACCTAATTACCTATGAAAATAGTTTCAAATATATGACCAAAATAGACAAAAATGTGACCAACTAATAACATACTTTTAGTGACTATAGTTGTATTCAAGTTTTACCAACATCAACTTGTAGTTGCACTGTTATCCAATATAGAATTTTAATAATTACTACTCCATACCACGTAATATTCTAGGGAAACCTTGAGCTATTTTACCCCGTAATATTTTATAGGAATCTAAGTAAACAAATAAGTAAGTCTATGTTGACCAGAATTCAATTATAATGGTACGTACAGTTATTACTTATAATGTGGATGCTTTAATTTTGGTGAGAACTCTGGTACCCATTTAAAAATGGGGTATCGTATCTACCATTCACTTGATTGGTCCACATAGATATATCATTTTTAATTTAGATTTAAATAATTACTACCTCCGTCCCACTATGTTTGGGACAAAGAGGTGTGACACAACTTTTAAGAAAAAGTAGAATTGTGTGGTTAGTATTGAATTGTTAAAGTGTGAATAAAGTAAGAATGAATTGTAACCACCCAGATATTACCAAATATGGTATGAGACAAACTTAATGGGACGAACAAAAAAGGTAAAACGAGACAAAGTTAGAGGGACGGAGGGAGTAAACTGCAATATTTTGATTGGTGCATGTGGACAAAGGTATGGTACATTATGGGTACCATAGAATCTACCTTTAATTTTTTGTCCAATCTAATTCTTCAACCTTGAATGGCCTAGAATAAGTGTACGTGTTATTTGCTTCATTCAATGATTCAACGATGAGGGAACCAAAATAAATCAATTACGACTTACGAGTATAATATACGGAGTACATAGGATCTGGTATGAACTATGATATGATATTTAATTGCTAAACATTTGATATCTGACATGTAATGCTCCCCTAGCTATATATTTATTGATTAATGTTGATTAAATACGTACATTAAAAATGTCCTAAATTGAATTTACAGCTGCAAATGTGTTATTCTTGGAGTCTCCTGCTGGGGTGGGATTTTCTTACTCCAACACAACATCCGATTTTAAGAAAGGGGGAGACAAAAATACTGCCAAGGATAATTACATATTCTTGTTGAATTGGCTAGAAAGGTTCCCGGAGTACAAAGACAGAGATTTCTATATCTCCGGTGAGAGCTATGCTGGGCACTATGTGCCGCAATTGGCACACACTATTCTCAATCACAACATTCAAGCTAACAAGACCATTGTCAACCTCAAAGGAATCATGGTATGTATATGTGTAATTAAGGGAAATTGCACTAAATGGAATCATTATGACCCAAAATAATGTCATTAATGGCAGTATTGTCATGTTAATGTCTGATACTGTAATTATTTTGACAATAATGATTCCAGGATGTCAAAAACCCGTCATATTAATCATATTCCGTAAAGCGAAAAACATAACAATCCTATTTTGGAATATATGAAAAGTCTATTTGAAATGCTAACCTATACTTGAAAGAACGGTTGGGACTTGGTTCTACTTGCTTAACCTTATCCATTGGTCCGTGCCTATTGAGTTGGAAAGGGATAAACCCACTATCTAACGCATGACATAATAATAATGAGATCGGCATAACTTAATTTACTAATCTTTAGTCTTTACTATTTGAGTTTGAATGACATATAAATGTAAAATTTAAGGGGTAATTTGAGTTTGCACCCCGTATTATTGTCTAAATTTGACTTTGCAGCCTGTTTTTAAAAAACTTTGTTTTTGCGCCTTAACCCCATATGAAAAGACAAATATGTCCTCAATCAGAATTATGTTGAAGGTCAACAAAATTGTTAATGGATGAGTATTTTTGTCTTTTCATATGAGGTTAGGATGAAAATAACAAAAGATTTTTAAAAACGGGGTGCAAAGTCCAATTTAGACAATAGTATAAGGTGCAAACTCAAATTACCCCAAAATATTATGTATGTGTGAAATAACAAAATAAAACATATGGAGTACTAAAAATATAATGCACGCAGTTGTCGGGATTCGAACTCAAGATTTATCTCTTACGGTACCCCTATTTATTAGTTGAGCTACGCTCACCTACATAATTCTATTTTCTAAATCCTTGTCTAGAATATCATTTTCCAAATTGTGATCATGATTATTTGACAGCTAGTCAGCTAGCTCGCTCCTATTGTGGCACATGCCTTGCCTGCCATCAATAATCTTTCATTCTTTCCTCTCATTAGTTTCAAAATGTCTAGTGTAATATACTGCACTGAGGAAAAGAAAATTGAGGTGAATTGCAGATTAATGCGACGATCAAACTGAATTTAAATTACCAACTCTAAAAGCCAGATAAATAAAAAGAGAAACTTAATTGGCTGTGACATCAAATTAATATTGAGATAAGATGAGGGTATTGTGGCAAAATATAAGGATTAGTGTTTAACGATACCGTATATTTACTTTACATTTTGACGTTACACTCAATAAAAGTTCAAACAAAACTTATAAGGTACGAAGTTAACATGCAACGCAAAGGACACTTGAGCACGTAAAATGCCCTATAAAATTTGTACCTTGCACAGTTGCTCGTTTCACATGAGTGGCATATTTGTGAAACTGCCACCACCTCATTCATTTAAATTTGACATGTTTTGCCCAAAATTTTAAAATGGAAAAGCTTTCAATATAACATCAAAACTCATCATTTAAAGTGCAAAATTAGAACTAAGTATGTTTCAATTCCCAAATATGACTTACTTAGTTTTATTAAAAGAGAAAAGTGTCAAATTGAGCATACTACTTTTTACGCCTTCCTATAGGTAATTTTCATCAAATTAAACTGATTTTTGACAAGCCATCCATCGGTCAATTACGTGGCCGGACATGGTGCCTATGTGGCGCCTACGTGACATTTGTTCCCTTTTCATTTTCCCTTTTCTTTTTCATTTTTTTTCTTTTACTCCCTCTGTCCCTAATAACTTTGCCAAGTTTGACTGGCACGTTGATTAATAAAGTAAAAACTGTGTGGTTGAGGTTTGTACAGAGGAGAGAGAATTAATTGGAACCATAAATTCTTTACTTAAATGGGAAAGTGGCAAAGTTAATGGGACATCCAAAAAAGGAAAGTTGGCAAAGTTATAAGGGACAGAGGGAGTACTTCTCTTTCCCCGTTTCTCCCCTGAATTCATCTTTGGCTTATAACCAACAATGTCTATTACAATTCCTTAATATCGACAACTCTATTAGTTGCAGTAAGTGAGCTAACTTACAAAATTAATAAAAAATTACAGACTACAATATCAAATCTCCGAATATAAACACTGATAATAAGAATAATAAGTTTGTTATTTTTTATTATTATTGTGGATCTTTAGATTGGAAATGCAGTGCTGCACGACGAGGCAGACGAGATGGGGATGTACGAATACTTTGCGAGCCATGCAATAATCTCCGATGAAACACTGGAACAAATAGTGAAACACTGCAACTTTTCAGAGAGTTATGGGGATCGAAACCAAACAAAGGAGTGCCACGTGGCTGAGTCGAGGGTGGATCGCAATGTGGAGCATATTGATATTTACAACATATATGGCCCATTGTGCACTAATACCAATCTCACCAACATCCCCGACAAGGCCTCATATGTGAGTATATTATACTTTCTCTCTATCTTTATCCCATTTTAATTTTTTGATTTGTCCCACTAAAGGAATATTTGTGACTGCTTCTACTCTCAAAATATTATTTTTAAGTGATTTCGGAGAAAATGTTTAAGTAAAAGTTGGAAGCGTTTGACGAAAAATGTTTTTAAAAAAGTAAAAGTAGTTAGTGATTGGTTAAAGAGAATTTTTGTGTAACAGGAAAAATGAAAAGCAATTAGACACACCCCTCCACTCGCTTTCAATTTTACCTCTTAAGTGCTTAATTTAAGCAGAAGTAATCACTTGAAAACACACATTTCTTCCTTTTAAACCAAAAGCAGATTTTTTTTTAATTCTTGCAAATACTCTCTAGCTAAGTTTATCTCATACTATATTTGGTAATATGCGAGTTCTTACTTTATTCACACCTTATCAATTTAGTACTAGCCAACCACACAATATAGTAAGTGCACCACTCCTTTTGTCTCAATTTTAAGGGACGGAGTTACTATTAAATTTATGTAAATATCTTTTTCTAATAATTTTTTAACACAAAATAAATAAATAAAAATTGGTGCGGGTCAAGCCTAGTATATGCCCCCTAGTAGGATGCAAAGTATTTATATTAGTTGTTTGTGATTTAAAAAAATGAGTCAAATCACTCTATATATTACATATAGTCATAGCATAACCCCCTGAAAAATAATTTTAATGGTTTGAAAATCACCTGTCTCAATGATATAACAGATCATGCAAGTAAACGTGTATACTAATAACTTATTTTATGGGAAAGTTGCCCTCAATATTACTACAAGTGCACAATACACTTGAACAAAATTACACGCTACAAAATTTCAATGTAATAATTTTCTTAAATAACTAAACTAAATTAAATAAGAATCATTTTCCAATACATATGTAATAGAACTTTAATCATAGTGAATATATAAATTGTAATCATTAATAATAATTGGATGCAGTTAGTATCAGATCCATGCAGTGATTACTACGTGTATGCGTACATGAATCGGCCTGATGTTCAGAAGGCCTTGCATGCCAATGTCACCAACATGCAATACGATTGGGAACCCTGCAGGTATATATTATGTCATCCCGATATTTTTTTCTGAAATTATCCGAACCGAGGTGGATATCCTACCCAAAAAACCTGAAACCGAAAATCCGATTAGTATTGGGCCTAGACCGGGTGGCAGGTAGGGTTTGTGAAATCCCAACCCGACCCGCCCGAATATCCGAAATATATGTTAGTGTGTACTTTGAATATTTGAATTAATACTTGTGTTCAATTATTTGTGTAATTATTTGTGCAATTTGTATTAAATTATTTGTGTAAATTGAATGTGTAGTGAACTAGTGTGTACAATTTTTGTTAAAGTGGCATTCCAACACTTTAACTATCCAATTATAATGTGTTTTGATATATCCAAAATATCCGAAATATATTAAATTATGCAGTGTGTACTTTGAATATGTTAAACTAATACTTGTGTTCAATTATTTGTGTAATTATTTGTGCAATTTGTGTTAAATTATTTGTGTAATTTGGAAGTTTAGTGCACTAGTGTGTACAATTTTGTCAAAGTGGCATTTAAACACTTTAATTATCCAATTATATTTTTTTTAATATAACCGAAATATCCGAAACCCGACCCGATATCCGATAATATCCGACTTAAAAATATCCAAAATACCCGATTTGAAATATCAAAGGGTCGGGCCTAGTATTTAAATTAAAAAACCCGAACGGGTTTAGGGTTCGCAAACCCGACCCGCTCGAACCCGACCCGTGCACACCCCTATCTGTGCGTTATAGTACAGGGTAAGACTGCGTACATCCAACTTTCTATACCTCATTGTAGGTGAGAGCCTTTGCGGCACTAGGGTAATGTTGATGATGATGATGTTGTTTTTGAAAATGTTATTGAAATTAAACAATTATCAACTTTTTATAATCTCATGTTTTTTTTCAACATTAAAAATTTGTTTCAGAATAAATGAAATCTATATAAATTAAAGTAAAAGATATGTGTATGTGTTTCAAGTGTATACCTATGTATGTAGTACTCCGCATATGTTTCAAAGTTTAAATCTAGTAAAGACATGTTTTGTTACGTTATACGTAGTAGCACATGTATATAATATAGAATACTTTTTTTTTATCACATTTGAGAAATACGGTGATGTAACGTTTGAAATGCATGTATATACTTTCTTGAATGGGGTGGATCTTTATTGTATTTTTCCGTTTTATCTCTGATCAAGTTAATGCCTACAATACAGTGACGTCCTCAAACATTGGGAGGACAGTGCCTACACAGTTATTCCTTTGATAGAGGAGTTGATGACCCATGGAGTTCGGGTTTGGATATTTAGGTAACATTATCATATACCTAGCTATCTCTACTGATCTCTACATTATATATTTAGGTGACAACTCCGGTACCCATTTAAAAAATAAGGTACCGTACCTTCCATTCACTTGATTGGTCCACATCATTATATCATTTTTAATTTAGATTTAAATAATTCAATTGCAACATTCTCATTGATCCATGTGGACAAATGTATGGTACCTTATGGGTACCATAGAATCTACCATATATTTAAACATAACCTTTCCCCATTTCTTATCTTCTTTCAAGCATATCAATATATAGGTTCTAAATTAATGGGTCCATTCTCTTTAGAAACAAAATAGTATTAGACCCGTCCATTGTCATTGTTTCATTTATATCACCGTGATCATTCTACATTTGACCGCATTCTATTAACCAATTACTCAACTCTTTGTCAACTTGAAATTCTATAAAAAAAAGTCATGGGGTTACTTATATACTACGTATTACTTATTGATAGATATACAAGCTGAGATAAGAACTCAATTTTTCAAGAACTTGTTTAATTTTGACAATTCTCTAATGCTCTATTCTTCCTACACTTAAATTCACACTTACACTTTTCGAATCATGATTGTTTATTATTTAAAAATCATACTTCCGTCATTCTGAATCATGTATCTTTTTTTGAGTTTTACACACTTATTAATGAAGTAGTTGAAAAACAAAAGTTTTCGGGAGAGAAGAAGTATTACTTTATAGCACCAGTTTAAATTAAAATAATTTCAAATACTTTATTTTAATACTATCGTATATATTATTGAAACCTTAAAGTATAATAGATTTTATAACTACATACATATTCTTAGTTATTAATGGTCAAAACGCCATCATATTTGAAAACCATGAAAATCAACAATGAATTTGTTACAGGATGGAATTAGTATTGTTTAGCATTTAAGATAAAGGGCGCCCTTTTATCTTAAATGCTAAACAATACTAATTTCACCCCATAACAAATTCATAGTTACGACTAGCGTTTCTTCATATTTTCATAAAAATCAAATTGTATTTCCCTAAACCATGACTAACTGTAGTTATCATAATTAAAAACCTATCTGCCCGCGAAGCAGAGCTAAGTAAGAATTCTTTTACTCAGACTAAAATTTTATGGTATGATTAGATAAATGTTTAATATATGTGCATTTTACTATTATCGTGTTGCTCATGCCCTAGCCCAAGCACATGTTTTTCATTGTTCATATCATTTTGATTTATTTAAGTAGGTCTCACTTGAGAATGAAACATACAGAGTAAATCCTAATTATGTATGTATGTATACTGCAGTGGAGACACAGATGGAAGGGTACCCGTGACATCAACGAAGAAAGCACTAAAGAAGATGGAGTTGACAGTGAAGGATGAATGGTATGCGTGGATGATGAGAGGGCGGGAAGTGGGGGGATATGTCCAGGTTTATCACCACAACTTGACATTTGCCACCGTGAGAGGAGCTGGACATCAAGTCCCCAGTTTCCAGCCTGCAAGAGCCCTCTCCCTCCTTGCTCATTTCCTTGTCGAGCATCCTCTTCCATCTGCCTAGTTCCATATATTAACTTTATACTTTTTAACAATTGTCTCACTTATGCAACCACGAACCTCTCAACTCTTCTTCAATCTATTATCATTGCAGGTTCATTTAATTTCATTCTTTTTATTCATTTAGAGGATCTATGAAGGGTAAATTTGCACCCCTTCTTTGTTTGTTATATTTACTTACTTTCCTCCCACTTCAAACATTTCTAATGTGTATTGGTTGAGAGGCTCACTCAAATACTACACTAAAGACCTAAGCTAAAGTCCAATAAAATAACTACTTAGCTTGCAAATACGAAGTATATATGTGGTAACGTAACTTGTAACTATGCCCACTATTAGTTTGTAGTCTTACAATTTTACCTAAATATTAGCCCTAGTAATTAGATGGACAACAAATAGACTCGTGCTAACAGCGGGAAAGGAACACACACGGTTACCAATATCTGAGTATGTATAAATGTAGAGTTGTACAATTTTAGTGATAACAACTAAGGAGGCTGGAAGTGCGTGAAATCTTGACGTAAAGGTTGCACGTCAGCTAGACCAGACCAGACCAGATCAGACCAGACCAGCAAATTTCAGTCCAAAAGAAAACATCCTAATTAAGTACAACTCATCAAACAATTTTAGCGACATTAATTATTAAGTCAACATAATCAAGGTGTTCAATATATTTCTTGTCAATTCATAACATAGTTAATTCACGAAAAGTCAAACAAAGGTTGAAACTAAATAAATAAAAAACATAATTTATTGAAATCATATATATTATAAATATTATAAATTTTGATGTATTCGTTTTTAAATGACATATACTATTATTTGTTAAACAAATGTGCAAAATAATACATACTGCATGTCAGTAAATTAGAGAACGTAACCTACTTAAAATTTAAAATTTAAATATAATAAAATTGAAATAATTTAATTTTGCATCTGATTTTTAAAGACATCTCAAATAGTCTAAATATCCCAAATTAAGCTCGAACATAACTTTCTAAACATACGGATTAATCAATGACGTCTCAAATTAATCCTTGGAGCAAATTATTATTTCTCCCATGTACCCAAAAAAAACTTTTCATTGTGCAAAACAAATTGGAAATTCAAATTGGGCTAATAGAGTTTTTAGCTTTACAATTTCAAGTCACTAGTTCTGTACGATATTTCCATTGCATTGTGTTGGTACTTGGTCACATATTTTTTATTTTGAAGGGAACAAGCAGATAGAATTTAAATCAAGGCAGATATATTTTATATTTAAATACATATGTATAGTAGGAAGATATTTTAAATTTTGGACCCCTAAATATTTAACTTTTTGGGGGCCCTGAGGCCTTTGCCTCAACATCCTCCAAATAGGCACGGCCCTGCATCTAGCTTACATACGCCAATTCCCATGGGCGGATCTATGTTGGGGCAGGGGTGGGCTCCAGCCCAGCCCAGCCCAATTTATTTTTATTATTATATGTATATGTATAGGTTTAATTTCTAGCCCACCTCAAAATTAATGTCTAGCCCAGCCCAAGCCTACCAACTTTGTAATTCTATTTGATTATTAATTGAATTTTTTCAGTAGATAGTAAAATAGTTTTTATTTATTATAAAGATAGAATTAAAGATTAGAAAATGATTTATTTATTATGCAATTAAAGAATAGAGAACGATGTTTTTACTGTTTAGGCATGTAAGAATGGATTCAAAATCTCAATTCAATTTTAAAATTGGGAGTACTTATTAGTTTTATGTACATCGACTATTTTTACTTATTAGTTTTCTACTTTTATAGAAGTATTTTAATTCATATCAATAGATACTAAAATCTTTAATAATCAATAATAAAATTATAAATCACACTAAAAACGATTAAATTTTAGATATACTACCTCTGTCTCGTTTTATTTAGCCATCTTTGACTCTTTAGTCAAAGATGGTAAACTTTGATCCATCATTTTAACTCATGTATTAATGTGAAACTTACTAAATTTATACTTTTATGATGAACTTTTTAACAAAGAACATTTCCATTTCATTTTCATATTATCAATTTTATTGTATAAATATATAGTCATTTAGAGTTTAACTTCTTTGACTTGAAAAGTCTAATAAGTCTTAATAAAAGTGGGCGGAGGTAGTATATAGTTTTTTCTATAATTTATAAGTTATCAAACTTATAAATTATTTAACATGACTATGCTCAAATTCAGCTTGAATAACTATTCAAACTCAAAAAAATAACGACCGCTTTTTTTGTAAAAACAAACTATTTAAACTAAAATTTAGCATGTGTTCGAGATTGAAGCTCGTTAAGCTTTGGTCATTAAATTAAATTCGAAATCACGATCGAACTCGAGTAGTTCGAAAAAAAACTCAGTTCAATAATTATCAGTCCTAAGCTAAACCTTTTGTATGCAGTAACCAAAATTTTTACTACTTAGCCCACCCCACCCCTCATTCCTGAATCCGCCCCTGCCAATTCCTCACACTCAAAACGCCATCAAGTTCATGCAACCACCTTCGGATCCAGAAATTGCAGATAAGTTCTCGGTGCTACTTCATGTTTACATATATATATATATATATATATATATATATATATATATAGAGGAAACTTCATGTCAGGCCGGCCTGACGGGCTGCCCCGTCCGGCCGAGCCCGTTTGGGCACCTTCCCGGTGGAATTTTTTGATGAAATTTTTTGAGCATGTTCCTCATCAAGTCTAGTTTGTCCATAACAAATTTCAGCTCAAAACTCGATCGGGAAGGTCGTCAAATGATTTTTTCAAGTTAACTGGTCCGGAAAATACATATTCCGGACCAGTTAACTTGCAAAAATCATTTGACGACCTTCCCGATCGAATTTTGATCTGAAATTTGGTATGGACAAACTAGACTTGATGAGGAACATGCTCAAAAATTTTCATCAAAAAATTCCACCGGGAAGGTGCCCAAACGGGCTCGGCCGGACGGGGCAGCCCGTCAGGCCGGCCTGATAAGAAGAGCCCTCTATATATATATATATATATATATATATATATATGTATGTATGTATGTATATGTATAGTACACACTGCATAATAGTCCCTACATGTAAACATGTCTTGGTGAACTCAAAAGTCACACCGAGAACAACAAACATAATTTGGTTTGTCTCCCAACTTTTAGTTTATTGAACAAAAATAGATTCACCCACCTTTTAAATTTTTAATGTTGACCGGCCAACCCTATATAGCTTGATGGAATGTAATGGTTATCTTTGACACTTTACAAAACACTTCTCCAAATGATAAAATAAATTGTGCGTGCTACCATGTTACATATATGGCTTGTGCCATTTAATGACACTCCTTGAGCCGTTTAAACTGTATTTCCATTTTAATTTCTGTTTTTACATTTTATAAGTATACATTTACACCCAACTATCCTCCAAAGTGCTACAATATTCTCGTCCAAATCTTCCTCTCACTATATTTGTTTTTATAATATAATCTTGAGTAATAACAAGATAATACTCCCCCCATCCATTAAAATTTTGCCAAATTTGACCAGCATATAAAATAATAAAGTAAAAATTTTGTGGTTGAGGTTTGCATGCAGAATAGAGAGAAATAATAGGAACCAAAAAATAATTGATTAAAAAGGAAAGTGACAAAACCTTTTGAGACGTCTAAAAATGGAAGTATGGCAAAATGTTAAGGGATAGAGGGAGTAATATACTTTAAACTCGTATGGTTAGAATTATCCTTTTATTACTTAGTTATATTATATTTAGGTAAATCTCCTTAAATTAAAAGATGTCACGATGTTCTATTAAAATTACAAAAATATCTATAGAACAATCGGTCGTAGGATATACATAATCTACGCACACATGCATAGGCCCAACCATGATAAGCCCATTTGTGATGTACTGTAATATCCTTTGCTATCGTCGTCAGTTTTCACACATGGATAAACCATAGCCGAACACAGTGCTCAAGCTGAAGGCTCTCTGGAACCATGGCTTCCTCGGCAACACCCTCTACTCTCACTCTCTCCTCTTCACTTATTCAACAACAACTCAATTCATGCACCCACAGTCTTCCGTTCAAAGCTCTGTCATTCTGCTCCAACAAGAGTTTTCCCATCAACCCTCTCAATCTTCATTGCAGAGAGAGAAAGCCGCCCCTTTTTAACTGGGCTGAAAATGGGCATTCTTCCAAAGCAATCATTTTGGCTGCTGCTGCTGCTGCTTCTGTCTCCTCTGAAACTGATGTTTCTGATGAGGATATGGAAGAGTTAGATGGGGAAGAGCCTGCTGTTTCAAGCGCTCCCACAAAGCCCAAGACAGGCAAGGCCGCCTTGCTTCTCAAGAGGGACCGAGTAGGTCTATTTTACACATCGTCTGTGTTCTTCTTTACATGAATTATGGGATTTTCGCGTCATGAAACCTAGGTTATGATTAATTTTTGGGGTTATGTGTCAGAAAAATCAACAATTCCATTTTCACTTGGGAGTGGATATGTTTACACTTTACATGATGAATTAACTTAAAACATTCTTTTGTGAGAGTGAGGTTCACTTCCACCTCTGCGTCACCTGGTGACTATTAGGATTTGAGATTCCAATACCAATGTTGAAATCAGTATGGTTTTTCCTGTTCTTAGTTCGATTGACCTGTGTGCTTGAGTGTAATGGGTTGCCATTGCTATACCAAAATTTATTGCCCACTTTCTCAAAATATAAAAAAAATGTAATACTTCCTCCATTTTTAAATGAAAGTCACGGTTTGACTTTTTAAGTCAAACTTGTTAAACTTTGACCGTTTTTACTCAAAATTAATAATATTTTATCCCAATTTTTTTATTAATTTGCTTCGTTGTAATATGTATTATAGGTGATATGTAAAATTTTATCCCAATGTCAATTTATTATAGATTTTATATCTATATATTAATAGATAATTACGGTCAAACGTTCGCCTATGAGACTGCAAAAGTCAAACTGTGACTTTCATTTAGAAACGGAGGAAGTACATTAGTATAAACTATATTTCATTACAAACTACTTGACTCATTTCTATAACCTATGTAAATCAATCTTACTAGTTTTCATATCTTGAAAATGTTGCGTAGTAACTTCATTATCATTTGTTTGAAAAATGTTTCCTTCGGGATAACATACTAACCTACATTAGTCATATTGTGAAAATCTGTCTTCATAATATTCATCGTAAATGACTTGCATCGCCTGTAGTAAGGTTGTCTGATATATGTGAAGGTATTATGTAA